CATTTTCAGAGATGAAAATTAATTTAATGCTCTACTCATTTTTTGTTAGACCCTTGCACTGAACTCGATAAAATAGGACCACTGAGTAGAGAATATAGCTGCAGTCAATCTAAGAATTGCAGGAAATGTTGAAAGAAAAATACTTCAGTACATTGTTTTGTGGATATGTGATTGTACAGACTTCCTTGATGCAGTCCTCAGACTGTCTCACAAGCTGAATATTTTTGGCTTGGTATGTGGGAGTTTAGGTGAAAATAATCCAAAAGTCACAAAATAATAAAATGTATACCTATTGTAAATGCAGGCAAACCCAGTGGAAAGAAATTATGATGTCTGACTCCAGTTCAGAAGGCTGAGTGACTTCTTTATTATAACTATTCTAAAATACATTAATATACTATATAAAGGAAGATACTAAAACTACATGCCTACTTTTCTAACTGCCATCTCTAATGACCAACTCGTGACCCTGTTCTCGAGAGTCCAGACACAGGTGGATTGGATTGGCCATCAGGCTCAAACAATCCTCACCAGAATCTAATCAAGCAATCACCCCAGGTAAACAATTCTCCAAACACATTCCAGATAGGAAAAACAAAGAGAAGAAATAGAAATTGTTTTCTCTTTCTTTCTCTCTGTGCACTTCTATGAAAAATCCTGAGAGAGAGAGAAATGTGCTTTCCACATATACCCATACTGTCAGGCATACCTTATAAAAGACTGACTTGGTAAACACAGCTTCTTCCTAAAGTTTCTGCAATGCTGGTGTGAGCTGTGTGCCCTGGTGGTGCATCAACACCTGAACTGCAGAACTGGCCCAGGGGCAGAGAACAGGTGGGTCAGGTAAACACACAGAACATTCCCACTGGCAATCATGTGGCAGATATGATGCATTACCTAAGTTTCTGCCTTCATAATTTTTTCTATAAGTCCCTTCTGTTAATTATTTTTTCAAGAATACAAATGCTGTTTGAGCAAATGGGATCAGAGAAAAAGGGAGTTTAATTCAAGAGCTTTGTACTTTTAGTCTGATAAGCCATTGATGTATATTCTATCAATTGTAGGTCTGACATTATGGTGCACTGCTTCACTGAATGCCATGGCCTTTCATATCTAAAGAAGCTGTTGCAAGGAATGTAAGCAGAATAATCTTTTCCTTTGTTCAAATTACCTTTAATTATAACTTTTCAATTGACATAAGTGATGACTTGTGAAGATGTCAATAAAGTGACAAATACATGCGTAAGAAATCTAAAGGTGCATTGTGGTCTCTTTGACCATGGCTCATTAAGCAAATACTGTTGCTATCATCATTCATCTACAACTGACTTTACCCATAAATCTTATTTTTAGAATGGACTCTGTCCAAGCACAATGAACAATTAAATTTCAAGTTTGAAAATGACAGTCTGTCCTCTTCTTTTCTGTTGTTCATTTATCACAGTCTTGCTTACGGCCACTGTGGTAATTTGAGATGTAAAGAGATGGGGGTTTAGACTGCTTGGTATTTATCATTCAGTAGAACTACAAAGTTAGGTGTGATCATATTGCCATTATATCTCCACTTTAATATTTTTTAAAAGAAAAGGAAATATTAAGATAATTAAACTGATATGAATATGTGTCATATGTTAAACAATGTGAAAAACAGTGATTTTCAGAAATCACTGATTTCTGAACAAGTGATTACTGTCTTCTGAGAAGAAGAATTTTAAATCCCTAAACCTCTTGCATAAGAGTTTACCATTTTAAAGCATGCAACATAATCCTGGACACAAAGTAAAAATTAGAATAAATGTGTAAATGATATTCCAAGTTCTTGTCTAGAAGCAAAGTTTTATCAAAGAGTGTTCTGTAAATTGCTAAAAAGATATTGTTAGCAATAATCTCCATGCCCCTCCTCCCCTCCCCAATTTATTTCATGTAATAGTAGGTCAGGAGTCCAGACAGACCTTAGTGTTCATGGTCCTTCAGGGTCTTTTGCAAAAAGGGATGTGCCTCATACACAGTGTTATAATTTTCAAAAGGATAATAAAATCTGCTAGAGTATGACTGCATTTTCCTGAATTACAGCTGTGAAGCATATAAAAGTCAGGGCTCTGAAAAGAGTGGGAAAAATGGGATATGGAAAGAAATTACTTGGTCTTTAAGGGTGCAATTTGACTGTGGCTTATTCAACAGCAAATGTTCAAATAGTTTATAAAGCAGAGTTATGCCAGTAGTCAGTTTGGAAACTTCATTCTTAATTCTTATTCTTCAGCTAATACCAAGGATTATAAGGATTTAAAGAAAGAAATTAATCAAATTTCCACCATGTGTCTCATCTTCAAAACAGTGAATTTCACATGTACAAACCTGGAGTACTTCACTCTGCAGCAGATTCTGCTGGTTCAGAACCATCAAATCCCCTTTCATCAATGATAATATGTGGTATTAACTTCTATTTTTGGGTACTTAAACTAATTTTCTAAGTTCATCTTTAGCTGGGTTAAATAGTAATGAAATACTATAGTGACAGACTAAGACATTCATATTATTACTTAAGTGTAAGTATTACTTAAGTGTAAAGGAGTATTTATTTTGATATTGGGCAACTGTTATTGCCAAGCAATTTGGTAGTAAACAGTTGGATATCAGTCTGCTTGGAATTCAATTAAATGTGTGCCTTTCAAGAAGGTTGTGCTGTTGGCTAATGCTGATGTAAATAACTAAAACTAGAATTCTGCTTTATTAAGAAATGGGTTGTTTTTTTTCTGGATTCATTGTATTAAAATCTGATATGAAACCAAGTGACAGTAGAAGTATAACACACATGAGCTTTGGCAATGATAGTTAGTATATCATAAAGCTAGCTCTGTGCCTTCACTCTCTGCTTCTCTTTCCATATTATTGATCATTAATGCCAAAATGAAAAATAAGAGGTAGCAACTCATGTAAGAAAACATTTGGATGGCTATTGTTCTACATTATGTGTAGTTAATGGTTATGTTTACAAACACAAAGGTAATATTTACATCCATTGAAATGACAGAATTGATTAAATGGGATAAGAGAAGAGTGTACCAGAAGCTCTGGAGCATTGGGGTTTTTTTTGTAAATTTGACTGATGTTGGTGAAGTGTGTTTTGGATCTCCACAATATTGGTAAGAAGATGAAATAAAATCACAACCAGGCAAGCAGTTCATTACTTCTCTTGGGGAAAAAGGAAAAAATCAAGAGAGAATGGTAGTCAATGCAATAATCAAATTTGCAGCACTATATAAGCATAGATTGACATAGAAGGAAAATCATAGGTTATGATTAACATTAATAACACTTACATTGCTAAAGCAGTTGGCAGATACCAGCCAGAGATTCATTTAGAAACATTGCTTGTAGCTACTGAGAATGGTATTCAGCATCAAATACTTTGTATTAGAAATTTTCCCTGTCAAGCAAATGAAATGAGTTTAGCTTGCAGGAAAACATAAAGTGACAGAACAAAAGAAATGGAATGCAATTTGGGGTCTCAGAGATATGAAGAGCTCCTATTAAAGAATGTCTGTAACATCTGTCTACAAGTGTAAGATTTTTTTCTTTTACTTTTGTTCTTTTTTTTTTCAGTAATGTAGGTGTATGGATTGCCCTCTTTTTCTTAATAATACTAAAAGAAAAAAAAAAGGAATAACAAAAAAATCCCTAAAATCCTGTCATCTCAGGAGACACTTGAGGAACAAAATATCCTCAGTATTGTTATTCAATGGTGTTGATGTCTTCTTTCCTTTTCTTTTATCCTGTTAAATTTTTATTTTCTACCATTTTTCTCCTTCTTCTCTCTATGTGAAAAAGTTCCATATTTCTGCTGTTCAGTATTATTTGTAGATTCCTTTCATTCCAGAATCTGACATTTGAACTTCCTGTGAAAAAAAGAGCTATTCTTTCTCTATGCTTTATAAGCAATCTTTGCTATAGCAGAGACAACTTTAATCACTCATGTCTTGGTTGTGAATCTCTGGTGCCAGAAGTTGTTCCACCATACCCTGGGTCTCCTCTGATCTAATCATGGGCTCCTCTTCCTCACCCATTCCCGTGGGAGTGCCGGACAGACAGCCCTCCTGGAGGGAGCTGCAGGCACACATGGGGTAGTCAGAGATTCTCCTTACTCAAAGGAATTTATCAGTGGGTTCTCCAGACAGCATCTCCTCTTTCACAGTAGAGATTAAATCTAGAAACTCAACCCTGAAGTTTTCACAACACTTGAGTTTGATTATTCAGAGTTGAACACTTATGTAGACTACGAATGATTCAGGAGTTACTGAAATCTTGAAATATTTTTCTTGCTTCCAAACTCTACATTGTGAGGTTTTTACTGTTTTAATATTCACCTACCTTAGCAGCTTTTAAAATTATTATTGTACTTTTGTGATGAAAGGAATGCATAAGGCTATGTACTTACTGTATCAGCCATCATATAGCACACAGGCTTGTGAGTGTTCCTGTGTAAAAATAATCTCTTTTATTATCAGAAGTGCAGGTATTAAAAACGAAACTGCATTTTACTATAAAACATTCAGAAGGAGTGTGTGTAAAGAATAATAAAGCTTGGCTTTTAATTGATGCTCTTAAGGCTTGGCTAGAGACAATTTGTGTCACCATCAAATCAGTTTGAATGCACTTATAGAGAACATTACTGTATTAATTTAAAAACGTTTATGATTTCATGAAGGAAATTCTGCTGTTGACCCTCATGGAAGGATAACATAGGTTGGATTTGAGGATCTTGAAAAAGTAAATCAAAGTTGAAAGCTAGTCATTAAAAGCGAAAACATCAAGCAGCATTAAAATTCTTTTTTAACTTGCTTTTGCATTTCAGGGTAGGCACACTGATGTAGACAGTGTATTCTGTAGAGGATACAATGGGTAGAACTGTCAAATATTAACTCCTTTTCAACAGCAAAAAGCATCAATTGAAATTTCTTTCTAACACCCTTATTGACTTTCCTTTTAATTTTTTTTCACAGAGGATCTTTCTCAAAGCTGGAAGTGAGGAAGAAATCTTTGCACATCTTGGCTTGGATTATGTCGAACCATGGGAAAGGAATGCTTAAAATTATTTGCCAGTGTACATTCATCATTTGACTGCAATGATCTTTCTGCCCACCTTGCAGTCTGGTATAGTTATACATATATAATAAGTATTTCCATGACAACAAAAAAATGAAAGAAGTATTAGAAGCCACTTGCACTTGCTAATGTTCCTAGAAGACAAGACTAAGTTTTTCAAAATCTTTTCCAGTCCTTTCTGGTTTTGAATTTTCTATGTGGGAGTGATAAGACAGAGCTTGTTTTGGGGAGAAAACTAGTAACTGGTGAAATTTTTGCTTATGATAGGAATTTTACACTAGTATGAACAATACTTGTTTTTTAAAGTAGTCAGCTACAACACATAAATAATTCAAAATATTTGAGCTCAGTCAAAACATTACTGAAATGTATGCTGGTCTTTAACTGAATTTCTTATGTATTTTGCTGCTTCCATGTATAAAATTGCTCTGTATATAAGGCTTAATGACCTAGGCAGTAACTACTTCACCGTCTCAGCAACTTGAGGCTTTAGCTGTAATATTTTCCCAGGTAGGGCACCATTCTGCAAAAACTATAAACAAGTTGATAATTCAGTGAGAGTTAAAAAACATTTCACAGGAAGGGATTTTGAATGGAAAAGTGGAATAACTCAGTAGCAATCTTCAGTTTTGTAAAAAAATGCTATAAATTTATAGTACTGATTTGGACTAAAAAGGAATCAGGTTATGAGGTGTAATGATCCTAAGTCAGGAATTTGAATCATAACCTACATGAAAACAATATTTTTAAGTGTCAGGCTTTTTACTGCTCCAAGACAAAAGATTTCAATTATCTGTGCTCAATTTAGATAGATGTAAATTTATTTATTAGTAAGTAAGTGTGAATGCATTTACTTGAGCTGTTGGGCTATTGGCTACTCTAGAGTATTCCATGTCTTTAGTCAGAAATTCATACAGGATGCAAGAGGCTTTCTGATAAAAGCCCTATGAGATATTTTGGTTTCAGAAAATGTCTAGGTAACTCTTGTGACCATAATGATAGTGAAGGATTTGTAATACATTTATCCTTTAATAAACAGGGGCATTCAGTGCTTTAGAAAATAAAGTTATTTACTGATAATTCTTCATTTGGGAATAAAGGTGATTAAGAATACTAGGATTGGTTGAATAATTTTCTTCCTTAAAAATCTAGAATTTCTTTCCTCTGTTGAGGCTGACTACACCTCTTGACATGATGAGGAAAGAATAGCAATAACAGGGCTGTGTGACAGTAAAGGCTTCCCATATTCAAACACTATTTGTTACTAAAAAAAAAGTATGCTTAATTTGTTAATCGTACTTTTAACTGGGGAATAGAATTTTAGAGGACTGTGTTGTAAACTATTCCGAAACCTCAGTCAGGGTTGTAGAAAAATGTGTTCATGGCAGGAATTTGCTTCTTCCTATGTCAATAAAATCACTCTATTAGAGTGCAGTTTTGCTAACTGAGCTGAAAATACAATGCTACTTCCTAAACTGCTCTAACTATAAAGCACAGGCAGTCCTTCCTGCTTTATTTTGCTGATGTTTGAAGTAGCTTCTCTGTGTTTTGCATCAGGATGCTGACACTTAAGTAGCAGTGACATTTTTCAGTCCTAATGGAAGAAAGCAAAAAGTCTGAATATTATTTCTACTTGGCCAACATTTGTAACAAATTATATATTCCAGTTCTGCTGTTTCTGCAAATTTCAAGACACACGCAAAATATCAAAAATTCTGAACTCCACATAAATAAATAACTCATAACTTGGGTGCCTATGCATCACTTATAATTATGCCACCTGTGAGGGTAAAGAAACCAACACAAGTTCTGTCAGCTCCTCCAAGCCTGAAAGAAATCAGCATATCACTTTATTCTTTATTTCCCTCAATTTTTCTGAACTTTATTTAGTATACATCTTACAGATTGCTCACTGAATCAACTATTTAAAAAAAATATGGACCTGACAAATGAGGGGTTGTGTTAAAGAGAACAGCCTAGGTGACCAGGATGGTTTGACCATGAAGAAGATGGCTTCTCTTGTGCACACCCTGACTGGAGCAGCTACAACTGCAGTCACTATCGCAGGTAGCATGTGCAGGATCATCCCTGATAGCGCCTGCCAAACCAGACAGCTGAGACTGCAATTAGAAAAGATAAAAGTCTTATAGGAGAGCTGGGATGGAACAGGTTAAAGGAAAGGAAGCCTTTATCAGCTGAGCATATCTGGATCCATGTGTTAGTGGAAGTCCCTCCAGTGTGATGGAACTGCTGGAGTCAGTGGTAGCAAAGACCCTGAAGGACAGGTGGGGCCTCAGGACCTGGAAAGAGCAAACATTTGTAAGCAAGAACAGACCACAATTTGTAATAGGAGGAAGAGAAGAGAAAATTTCAGATCAGTGCTCTTAATATCTCCTAAATTGCTTGAATGATTAATAGACTGTATTTTTAATGCACCTAGAAGAAAATAAAGTGATAAGTTATTGGTAATTTGTTCATCAGAAACAAATCATGTCAAACTAATTCAGCTGTAAAGTCCCTGAAGGCTGTCTTTTTGAAATGTCTGTCCCTCCTCCCCTGCTTCTACAGCAAGGCAATTTGGCAAGTAGTAAGTAGAGAAGGATCACTGGTTTAATAAACATCTACATACTAACTCTCTAAGAATTACTAAGTAATTCTACCTCTGGGGAAAAAAGGGAATAGTAAAAGGAAAGTCAGTGTTATTTTTTTCGTGGTTTGAAGTAATATGCGATTTGTCAAATAATCTCTTAAGGCAAAGGCAATGAGATGTATTTAGTTTGGTGGATAATAATGTAGTTAATGTCTAAAGGACTAACATATTGAAGGAAAAGCTAATTCTGTCTACACAGCTCTACAAAGTTGCAAATCTGGGCAACCTATACACTCATACAACTGAAGCCACATGGACTTTCTGCAAATAACTGGAAACCTGAGAACTGCTGCTACTTTGCTTAAATAACTCCAGTTTTTTATATTAAAAAACCCAAAGATTTGCAAATGTTGTAATCCCCATATGAAATGTGTTTTCCACAGTTTATGGGCCGAATTCTTTGGCTTTCTCAGGTGAGACCATCTTATTCCCGGGCATGAGATATATTCTTTCACTTTTTGAACAGCTATTACTTTCTATTTTACACTTTTCTTTGGCAACTGCAGTTAAAATAAGCAGGTCCTGGGTCTGACAGGTTTTAATTTAAAGTCACATAAACAAATGAAGATTGGGTGTTCTGGAAACCTTCTTTAAGAGGAAGACCAAGCAGTCTTTTAGCCCTGCTATGCAGATGCAGTGTCTTTTACTTTAATTAGGATGCATCAAATGTAATTTCTTCTAGCTGAAGAGGCTCCTCAGCTGTGCTATAGGACATCCTTGATAGCACCAGCTATTAGGTGGAATATTGTGAAAATGTGTGTCACTCTCAGCTAAGGGCCTCTGCTAAAGCCAACCAGAGGTACCACCTTGCACAATGCCAGACAATAACTGGAAAAGGTTTTTCCTCATTAATGCTCTTCAAACCCCTTCAGAATACTTAGAAAGCTGTTTAATATCTCATTCAATAAATGTGTATTATAGGCAACCCATAAAATCTAACACTATTTTTCAGTGGATGCCTCCAAAAAAATACTGTTCCCAAATACTACTGGTGGTATAGAAACTCCACATGTTGGGGGGTGATGCTGGACTACACATCCCAAAAGCCCAGGTGCCTCAGGGAAATCAATTCTATCTGCACGTGGTGACTAACCATAGGGAGAGACGAAGAGAGAACGTGTTGGGTAAGTAGAAAATCTCCCAGTTTTCTGTGTTTTAGTACATAAAAACACTTACTGAAAATCAAGCTACTTTTTTTTTGTGGTTGCAGACATTTGATTCCAGTTCCTTTGTGATTGTGCTGCAAAAAATAATATTAAATGGTATATTTCCTTTTGGGTTTCATTCTTGCCAAAATCAACATGCTTATTCAAAGGGATTTTTGGGAATGGCAAAGCTCTCCAGACCCTTTTCCACCATTATGAGGTTTTAAGGGAACAATGTTTATGTGAAACTATTTTTATTAAACAATTATTTAAACAATTTTTTATTAAATAAATAAAGTATTTCTAGCAGGAATAGCATAATTTCATGTGTTTGCTGCTATATATACACATACTATGTCCAAATTATTCTGCCTTTTATTGGCTTCAGTGTATTTTCCTCTTAAGGAAGCTATGCACAAAGATATAATAGAAAATAGCAAGAAAGGTCTCCATTTTGAAAAAATTGATGATTTCTCGTTGGGGAAGTGCAGATTATATTCCAGAAACTTGTAGTTGCATCATTTAGGGGAAAAAAACCAAATAATAAAAAATCATATCCCAGCACTTTGAAAATAAAATAATGATATTTGTATTTTTCTAACCACTAAAAGAGAGATGATTTGGAATTTTCTTCACAGTTACCTTACAGCTAGGGTAGATCTAACTTCAAAAATTGAGCTTGAAGAGGTTATGTAATTATGTGACTGGGTAGGAGTGTTTCTGCAGTTGGAAACTGTTGCTGACGATACAAGTCTGAAAGTGTTCCATTTTTAGTAGCTTAAGGATGGGTTGAAAGACCACTTGGGCCTGTGACTTCCATGAGTGTATTTATATATGTATTTATCTACAAATCCCACACTTCAGCATGTAGTGGTGGGGAGATTTTGTCTTGGCACTCCTCTGACATGTGTAAGAACAAAATATATTGAGAGGATAGCTGGGAACTGCTGCTTCTGGTGATCTTGAAATCCTTTGGTTGTGCTGTAAATTGTATTATGTTATATGAACTGGGTTTCTGTGCTTTAAACTAAACCAGGATATCAGAGACATAGTTCTCTGCCTTTTGTCCTTTTACAGTATGCTTTTAAATGTGTTAAAGACTGCTAGAAAGTGTACTTTGTGTTGGCGTTACAGGAGTGGGAAGTGGTTGTTTTGGAAACCCTGACAGACTGGTGCAGAGCTGGAGCTGTTGCAGGGCTCTTGACAAATGATTGATGATTTCATTTGAATCCTTCACAATACCAACACTCAAAAAGAAGCCAAATACCATAAATATCAGTTTCCTTTCAGACAAGATATCACAATCACAGAATGAATATGGCTGTTTTTCTCCCATTAATCTCACTCCTTACCACCAGTTAGGTTTGATTTCATGAGAGGACAAGGACACACATCTGAAGGACCCCACTGTCAACCACAGAACAAGTGCTCTCCTACTCCCTGTTGAAAAGGCTC